GATATAAAACAATAGAGGTCAACGCTGCAGATTGAGAGTTCTTTGTTTATTTTTTGCTTTTTAAAAGCATATTTCAAAGCATATCATTCATCACTTTCTGATGTTTTCTTTATTTCTTTCTTTACCGTCGAGTAACTCTTCAGTACATGCTGTTTGCTTTTATTTCATACGATGCCACTCGAGTCTTGAAAACATGGCTAAAAATAATGATCCAGGGAGCATCGTGTTGGTAGGTTATTAGGAGGCCAGGGTGTATCTACTAGGGGTTCAATTTGCCGGTAATTATTACTTCGTGCTACAAGCCCACACCAGCATCATATTATGGTTATTAATCCGGAGCATTTCTAATTGAAATAGTGCCTCCCTGTCTGGACACGTGCCTTTGTCTGGGCACGTAAAACACCTCTGTTGTTACATCACGTGACCGTTCCAAAACAATAAGATACCGAGATCTCTGGGTCACGTGCCAAAACAAATGTGGTTGCTATCCCACAAGCCATGAGCGGCCTCATAAGTATCATCAGTTGATGATCATCAGTTGATGATAATCATTGATATTTTATTTTGTCGGATATATTATGATGTTGTGGTCTTAAGTTGGCCAGACTTAGTAATCTTGATTAATCTCGGCTGATGTTGAAGCTCTCGATGCTGCTCCAGCACATGTTGCTGCTTTCAATCCGATGCAATATTACAATATTAGCTCTTGTTCATGACGATCTATTTTTTCTCTGTTTTTTTCTTTATTTGAGGCTTTTACACTTACTTCATGATAAAACTACAAAGGTTTTTTTCCGTAGAACCATTTATCCTCGAGCGAATATTAATGAGATCATGATTAATGGTCTTTTCTCAGACGTTATTCATGAAACCGCACAACACTTTTGTGTTGATCAACTTGAACTGGTATGATATTATGAAGTGATTGTATGGTGCACCACACACTGCACTCTCTCAGCTGTATTACCTATAACATAAGCCTATAAACCTATATTATTACCCATATTACCTATATTACCTATACTGTTATCGGCGGAACTTAATCGTCTTAGTATCAGTGCTCATTATCAAGTGTCAAAATATTACTTTTTAAATCGCATATACTTATCCACCCGTGATTACTAGTACTTTAGCCATACTTTTCCTAGAATATTGTAATAATATTCGGTGAGAGTCACGTTGAGCCTCCATAGTACTCGTTAGTTGCACTGAAGAGTGTTCGACTTTCAAGGGATCATTTCCGTCTAATGGAGATTCTGTATACAAACATGGGAATACACATCCGTCTATTTCAACCTCGATTGAGAAACGGCTAATACAGTTGAGGCTAGATCAGTTTGGGACTGGCTCGATATACTGATCATTACCCTTTCCAGGAAAGTAGCATTACTATTAATAAACTTTTCACCGTAACTTATTGTGCAACTTGAATTATTAATCTAACAAACAATAAGACTTGATCATCAGCTTTAGCCTTTCAATGCTTTACGAAACTTTCAATTGTCTCAGTTTACTTTTACGATATGTATGATTTTGCTCAAACTGGGTAAAGCGGTGTAATTAAAATTTTGGGTACGAAGCCTTATGTGCCACCGTGACCAACTTAATTTATTTTATATTGGCCCAATATTATTGGGTGATTCTTGATCGAAATTAACCATCGACATTCAACAGTACCAAAAAAAAGTTTCTATCAATAATACAACACTTCCTAATACGGCTTGTTGCTCTGTAACAAATAAAAGAATCGTGATCATATGTTGTGGTGACCCTTCCATTATTCCATATTTATTCTGTATTTATAGTTTCGGGAATTGTCAACAGGTCTCCCAGCTGTTCCTTACTCTAGAATTCCAGTGTCAGACCTTCAGACTGAATATCACTCTATTCTTTGATCTTTCGATGCTTGATATTCGTAGAATGATTGCTTAATCTTCAACTTGTGCCTTCAATATCACTAAAATCGTGCTGTGGTTTCTCGAGAAAATAACCATCTTTTCCCAAGAAAATCTATGCTTTGTCGTGGTATTTTTCAATTCCTGAAATAATTGGATATTATTTAGTGATTGGTAGTTCGTGACGCTATGCTCCTTAGCTTCGATGTGACCGAGAGTCGACATTCTTCAAAAACAAAGGATACTTATAAAATCGGTTGAATTCCTGGCTAATAGACAGTAATTTAACCTATTGAAAACTATAACTGTGAATGAAGCGGTTTTGGCTGCATAGTTTAGCAATTGCCTCAATTAAGCTCGGCATTCGGGTGGTATACAATAATAAATAGTTGGATAACACAGCTGCAGCACTCTCGGACACCAGTGCCTCACCAGTTTACTAATATTAGACATTCGGCGGGATTTAAAAACAGAAAACGGATCACTACCCACTCGAGTTGTAAACGGACTTTTTTTCAATTCATAAATCCTTGCCGAAATGATCGTTTCCAGGGACTGTTTATCATTTTAGCCAGGTGAGTGTTTATTATTTTCCATTGGCTGAACATCATTTTAGGTGGACGTTTTCAAATACACTATAATTTATATTCGTAAGGTTCTGGCACACTAGCACACACCATAGTAGGGCCCACCTTGTGACTGGTGCCAGTGGGACCAGTTACAAGGTGGTCCCTACTATGGTGTGTGCTACTATGATGTGTGAATTTAAAGTGTATTACTACATCAGATGATAGTCATCTGTCTGTTGATATTTACAAGTGATTAACGTATCAAACTGATGTATCCAATTAAAATACTATCGTATACATCCGTGTTACTGTATCGTGTTATTGTATGTTATTGGGAGGTAAGTAGGGTAGTTACTGCTCCAAACTTCCAAAGCAACCTCAAAACAGGAATTATCACGCCTTAGGAAGCCGGACAATATCTTGTCACATATTTATTAAACAGCCCCTGTAAATCTTGGGGAGCTTCATGGTATTTAACAAGTCAAGTAGATTTGTTAAATATTTATGGGATTTATAAGAAAGTTACTGTTAATAGTATTGCTATATCCGATTGCAGCTACATAACTCAAAACTAATAAGTTTAAAGTCCGATAATATTTATGAGATGTTAGCATACATCAACGGGAATATATTTCAGTGCTTTGCATACGTTATTTGTTGATGATTAACATCAACACGTTGCCAATAAATTGGGCACTGGACGCACTCTTGCGCTTTTGATGTATCGTCATCGTCAGTCGTGTCCCGCTGACTGACTCTAAAATTTACCAACCTTGTGATTTTGTGAATTATTGTTCGCGTAGTAGCTCTCCCTGGTCCCTATCGTTTTAGAGTTGTTTAGCTGAACAACATATGGACATTTTCAATCATGATGATTAAGTTCAACATGTGAGGAGACCTGTGTTAACCAGGGTAGCCTATCAGTAATGAATCGGCTCTTCTTACACAACTACAATTGTTTGAGAGTTCGACATAATAAAGGCGAGTTTACTGATATACGTTCTCTTCGGTGCAGTCAGTGCGTTATATTTATACAGAAGGTACTCCGCGGTGGCGTAAGGTTGCGCCCCCTGCGCTCTTTTGGCGCCCCTCCTTGGAAATTAGAAATGTAAAATTGAAAAAATTATTCGATTTGGGAGGATTCGCTGTTAAAATCCCTGAAATAATGTGTTTCTTTAGTTAAGTTTTTAGTTATTTCAGTTTAAAAAAAATTGTCCCACTTCTAACGACGATTTGGCGCCCCTATGATGGCGCCCCCTCCCCGCATAGCGAGGCCTTTCGTTACGCCACTGGTACTACGTGGAGTATGCGAATAATATTAATACCTGGCATTGTTATATTTTATTCAGTACATTGAGACGAGAAAGCATGGTTTCTTAGTGTCGTGAGTGTATAATTGTAGCGTCATATGATTCTCCATCCGCTTGCTCTGATCGTGATAGTCAGTATTTTAGATATCGTCTATTTAAAGGCCAATCGAATCGTGATGTGAAAATGTGGAAATTTCGCAATATCTGATTCCCATGCTTTATTGTTCTGTGATTCTATGAATGGATCTTGTGAAACCTATTGTTACAGAAAGGCGTAATCTTTTTTAGACCATTTTTATCCTAACAGTATGGCTATTGACCTATTCAATAGGATAGTAGAATACTAAAGAGATTGCACTTCTTTTGGACCCATTGTTCCTTCGATTGTTTAAGGTAAGTGTCGTGGTTAAGGTTATGGTTAGCTTCGGGTTGGGGTTAGGGTTTATATAAAACCGGTTTGTTCGGCTGCAAAGCCGGCTCCAAACCCACCTCCCCCCTCGGCTGCTGACGGGGGAGGTGGGATGTGATATGTGACGTCATGTGATATGTGACCGCTCCCTTAGGTGGTTTTTTCTGTTTTGCGGAATTTTCTTACTTGTGAAAGCTAGCTTTCTAATTATGATACAATTAAAACTAAGATTGATTGTATACTATGAGGAGCGATTATTGTTTGTTATTATTTTATGAATCAAGATGTAGTGCAGTTGCCTATTTTGTTATTCCACTATTGTTATCATCACAGTGTATTTGCTAATAAAAAAACAATAAATATGCATTTTTCAAAAACTGAGATTGTCTTGTACTTTTCTATTGTTACATGTTAAAAAAATATTTGTCACCAATCGATATCCCCCGTAAAATCCCAAGTCTCGTGATATGATTTGTTAGAGCGATATAATATGAGCCCTTTGTTAATATAAATAGATCAATGAGCTGAACATGCGTTAATAAATGCATTGTGACCTTGATCTTTCTGACTATCACGACTATCACGACCATCACGACCAGCACGACCATCACGACCATCACGACCGTCACGACCATCGGGCACCAAAACGTTTTGAAACAACGTATCAACTGATCAAATTTGTAATTAGACCAAGTTTCTTCAATTAAAGCGTGGCATAAGGTTGGCTGCATACAAACGTGACCTCAGTATTACGCAAACGTTCCAACATGTGTTTGAAATTGTTCTTTTCAACGGTTGACCTGTCTTTCTCTGATAGGAAGCTAGAGTTTGATGGAGTAGACGATACCACCCAGGATACCAAGATGGACTGTGAAGAAAGTGCTGATGCGATCACCGAGATACGCCCTATGGGGCGCAACCCCTTCAACCGTCAAGCGAGGTAAATATAATGAAATATAATCAATATTGAATAAATGAAATGAATAAAATAATGAATAAATAATAAAATAATGAATAAATGAAATATAATGAAATCCACCCTTTTCAGGCAGATAAATTTAATTGTTAATGCAGTTAATAAAAATTAAACAGGTTTAAGTAAAATTAAAAATCCAAGATCTCTACTCTAGACTCTTATGCTAGTGCTGCTACTAAACAATAATAGTCGTCATCCGCCTAACGCATTATAAACTGGTACTACATAGTTGAATACACCATTATTGTTCTCTGTGAAATTTGATACTTGCTGTGCGGGTTTATTTCATGCCCAATATACTGGTCTTCAGTCTACAGAAATAACTATAATAAATAGTACGGTATACATTGATTTCGAAATTGTTTCAACGTTAAGTTTCGTGGTTTGCTACATTTTCCAAATTTCTATTTAAGTTTAATATCTTCTTTCATGTCCTGAATACCATGCAATACCCAGTAAAAATAATAAGTAACACGTGTATGAAGTATTGTGCTCAAGATCATCCCCCATAGAGTTAAATCTGGCTCGCACGTTCAGGGATACTTGGATAGATTCACATACTACTACTCTAATTCGACTCGTACTCTTGTTCGACTCGTACTTGTAGCTGTCCATATTGATAAATGATCATGAAAGGCCTGATGTTTGCTGTATTCAAATTATTTCACGATTTATCCACGACCAATTTGAGTCCGATAAGATAGCATTTGTACGGTAGGAAAACTTAATTAAATCAATTAACACGAGTTCATGGCTTTTGTTCGCCAATTTATTCGTTGCTGGATTTTAAGAGCATTATCTTAATATTATATCATACAAGTGAAACACTCGAAATAGGCAGAAAACGAATAGTTTCATGGTATAATTATGGTATAATCGATGCTATGAAAATTCCAACCATCGATGCTTTGTATCGATTTAGTTAATTTAATTAATTAGTTTTGTTCAAATTAATGTCGAATTAGAGTCCAGGTAGTGCACCGTAGTTAGACAGTCGAAGTTCTTTTGTCGAACTTCAGTACGTGTCGAACTTCAGTACGTGTCGAACTAAAGTACGTGTCGAACTAAAGTACGTGTCGAACTAAAGTACGTGTCGAACTAAAGTACGTGTCGAACTAAAGTACGTGTCGAACTAAAGTACGTGTCGAACTAAAGTACGTGTCGAACTAAAGTACGTGTCGAACTAAAGTACGTGTCGAACTAAAGTACGTGTCGAACTAGAGTACATGTAGTTTCACCGCTACATACAGTTAGCACGGTGAAGTTCAAGTAACATCACGTGATCACATCTTGATCCTCATATACAGGGTGTTCACTGTTCATGATACATCGGAATGGTTTCAAACATCTGTATATTTATTTATGAAGGAGCATCCAGCTGTGTTTCGTGAATACCCTGTATCACCATTAATCACGTGACATTTTATTATCAGTGATCCTATCAAAAAGATGAAAGTCACGGAAGACTCTTCGTGTAGACAGAGATCTATAAGTACAGTCACTAACCCTAGTCCTAGACCTAAGTATGTGTGATCATTGTGCGATCAAATGTGTGATCATTGTAGTCTGCACCGATTTTAGACTGCTTTCTTTAACCTTCTTTTAAAAAGCCCAGATTGATTTGCTGTGGCTGAATGTGTCTGATTTTTGGAGAGCTTCTTTAAATCTGGAACAACTTTTAGTTGTCGCATATTTACACCTAGAACATTTCACCAGGTCCTTGACTTAACACTTTAGCATTTATTACGATCGTGTTTCATTGCCTGATGATATTATTTGATCATATTTTACTATTACTGCATTTCTTTTCTGATCTCTTAGGAAAAACTTGACCTAGGATTTTGAAATTGTTTGTCAGCACATTTTAAGCTCCTAGCTTTACTCTAAATATGGTTTCGAAAATTGTCTAATAACACGACTAACTGATCCAGAAAGAATGCTCCATTTTTACTAACAACTAATTAATTAATGAGCCCACTTGCACTAACCACAAGCTAATAGTTTAATTACCCTCAGTGCGATGGAGATGTCCTCAACAGACCCAGAACCGGTTCCCACTATAGGAAGGAAGCAGAGGAGCAAGTCACTTTACGAGATGTCCGACCAGAAACCCAGGGTAGGTGCATTTTCAAGTTTTAAACTTTTGTTTATTATTTGTTGTGTTTTAAGTTTTAAAATGTTGTTTATTCGGTTATTACTTGTTGTTTTGTTTGTTACTTTTTGTCTTTGGATTGTTTGTCAGTCTGATTTAGCAAGTCGTGTTACCATTTTTATGTTGGGAAGATGAAATTGGATCGATTTAGTAGTTCTACCAATGTACAGTAAGTTTAATTATTTATAACAATGGACAAATGAGTTTTGCGATCGTGTTTATTATAATTTTACTAACCACTATTTTTATGAACGGAAGATATTATTCTTACATACAACACGAATCGACAAAACCACAAATAAAGACACAATATTTAATAAGACATAGAAAAATAATAATCGAAAGTAATTGTTCAAAGAATGGAGCTACAGTCACAGCGTTCGTCTGATTTTGTGATGTTTTGTCATGACTTGATTGTTTCAAATGAACGAACACACAACATTTCATGAAAATTATGAAGTGACAATTTGCTATTCTTATCGATAATGATATTGCTTTGTATGTTTAATTAGATTACTGCGACGCAATTAACATTTATTAGCATTTATATTTATCCTTGGGGATATCATTAAACCATCAAAAGTTCCCTACTGATTGAATCATAATCTTTAAGTTTAATTTACAATTTTGTTAGCCGTTATTTTACTGAATAAAATATTGGTCACATAATACATCTGATGCATCCGTGCAGCGTCATTCTATCGAAACGAAACGAAACACTGTATTTACTACCCTGCTACTATGCGACAAAGATATTGTATAAAATATAACTAAATAATTTTAAAGAGTTAAAGCTCTATTCATTTGATTTACTCCGTGGCTACTGGCTAAGAATCCAATGACACTGCTGGAAATACAATCAGATTGTGCATTGTTCATCTGTACTACTGCCGGAAAATGACCATGATATTTGGAATTCTTGGCTGTTAACAATTCTTTAGTTATTTGTCTGTACCGAATATTTACCGTGAGAATTTGGCTTATTTAAAAATGTTCCCATGAATCTTTTGCGTAAAATCTTTCCTAAATATCAAAATATAGCAAATATTTCTATCTACTACCATTTAGGAGGTGCTAAAAACGTTGATATTTTCCATAAAATAAGTATTTTAAGTTAGTACTTTGCACCATTTATTCTTGTACCAACCTTAAACTTACCATAACATTTTTTCAATCATCAATGAAGTGCATTGTTCCATCTGCCATTTTTCCCATTTGCTGGCAGACAAAGTATTCTGGTGAATCACTTTTTCCCTCGAAATTTTTTGGGCTGATGGAACTATTTTTATTTATAGCTCTCACACGGTTACATTTGACTAATCTGAACAAGTCGCATTACAAGTCAGTAGTCACCTCCTTCATTTCATTTTCTATTTTGCGACTCTGCTTAAAATGACCTTGACCAGTAGTAAACACACCAAAACTAGGTCTAGTCGGCCTTCATGAAGAAAAGTCATAATACCATATAAGGAGGTTTTTTAAGTAGTATATCGTAGTTACAAAAAGCAGTGAGGATATATATTGGCCGTCTCGCCGCTGCGTCGTTTGATTGGGTAGAAGATAAGTAAATAGCCGGCACTTGGCTATATTGTCCGCACTCCACACCTGTTTTAAAATTCAGTCCCATATCTTCTCTGATAAATTATTTTGAATCTCTCACATATTTGGCTTGTAGATTCCAATCTTAAATGTTTTTTCCCATCCGACGGAACCGCCTGAAACGTTAAGATTTGATCCATTTTGACGATTTCGTCTAACAATGTGAATAGAAAATGATGAATATAATGTTCAATGTTTAAGGCTACAAAAAATAAGTAAGTAAGAAGTGTCGATATGATGGTTCAATTTTACATTTTTGATTACTTTCTTTCAACTTTCTGGGGGAAATGTATATAAGTTAATGGCAGAGATAACCCATTCATTTATACCTAAAACAATGCATCTTCAATATTCTCTAATAAATTTTGTCTCATAGGCTTATTTTTGATGTTGCCGACAGTATATTTTGAGGCTGATATCAGAAAAGTAAACAAATAAGAAGGAGCTTTTGACCAAATTTTGTAAACTAATCAATAGTTGAAGCGGAAATTGTGACCAACTATTTGACATAGCTTGGCTTAGAATGATTGGCAATGCTGGTAATTAGTTCCAATCGTGACAATTATAATGATATTTTTAAGATCTGTCATAATATTATCACATTATCACACGATCATTCCTTGCTGATTATGAACTGTTAAATGCTTCAATGACATCATTACAGCAAATCATTGGTGCAAAAATGTACATTTACTGATCAGTAACAAAGTTTTTAATAGATTATCTACACATTAATTGTAAATCAAACATTAAAGTTCAGAAATGTCATTTCCTGACTGGTGTAGTTTGTTTGGCTCAGATAGATCTGCATTCTGCATTCTGCATGTTGACACAATAATCGTCATCTCCACACAATATTTTGAGAGTTAGTAAGCAACTATTACCGTTTAATAGTTAACTGTCACGGTTAAATTGGCCGCTCACTAACCGTCAGTTTTATGTGTCTACCTGTAACCACGTTAACTGCCTGTAACGTTACTTATAACTGTGGTGAAACTCGGCATTTTTCATGGTTTTCACACCTCCTTTTTAATCTTTGCTTTTAAGAAATCATTAACGAAGACAGAGATTCTGAAGTCAGTATGTATCTCCAGATATGAGTTATGAACGCCTAAAAATTAAAATCATATGTATTATGTCAGCATGCACACTTGAAGCTTGCTTGATACCAGCAATTATTTAATCGAGCTGCATTAACGCATTAATAACACATTAAGTTAAAATAGAATTTCCTTGAAAGACATAAGTTTAAATGACCTGCGAGAGCATTCTTTCTTCCGCATTTCCGTTGGAATTGCTCACGAATAGCGACAACTGTGTTATTCAACGGTAGAAGACTCGACAAGCAGAATATATACCAAAATATGCGAATTTCTTGTCTTGCTTCCTATTTTAGTGTCTCCGTATTGACAACAATTCAAAAACATTCTTAAGTTGTTGTTTCTGATGAAGTTAGTGTTAAAGAAGATCCTTGTGGAGGCTTTCCTTTAATTTCAGAAAATTGTTCTTCCTTCAACATTTCCCCCGCTCCGTCTTTTCTTGCTTGTAATACTGCAATTTTGATCAGAAGTAGTACCTCTCTCCCTCTCTCTTTTTCCCTCCTTCTCTCTCCTTCTGTGTTTTACTCAACTGATTGTATTGGTCTGAAGTAACGTATTGGTCAGAAGTAACGATACATGTACAGGTGGCATTATCCAGCAGTAATATGGTCGTATCTCCATCAACACATCTGATTACCTTTGTACAAATTTGATTCAGAGGTTGTGGCACGGTGTCTAGGATTACAACCTCTGAATCATGCATTACTATTAGCATTTGTTGCCGCTGTTTTCAGCCGCACAGTGTTGACTTTGTGCAGTACGTTGTGATATCTAATGTACATTGTACTTTGTAAATTGTACTTTTTACATTGCGGTTCTTTACTTATTATGGCACCATGATGACTGCAATTTGATCTCGTTTCAATAGAAATACTATTGTTTAAAGCTTAGGTTTTAATCGTATAAGATAGGCTGGATATTTAAATATAGCTTTGATTGCACCTGTCCAGTGTCCGTCCTCCAATGTTTTGACTTGACTCTCTTAAAGTTAAATACACTCCACGCTGGTTTCGTACAATGATCCATTGGTAAACTCCTCGAACTGACTTTAAAATGGGAAACGCGTGCTCGTGTGACGGCTTTGCGGAAGAAGAGAAGAAGGAAATTGTGTTGATCAGCGATAACAAGTTCATTATAAAGAAACAAACTGCTACTGTAGTCCCTGAGGTTTCTGTTGAGAAGGAAAAGGTGAGTTTTTATTAAATTCTGATATGTAACTTTTCAGTTGTTATTACCTGATATGAGTGTTATGTAATTATATATGAGTGTTATGTAATTATATTCAACATCCTGTTTCGAAATTCTATTGTAATCATTAGAATTTTAATGTTATGACCTGTAACCTTGTGACCTGTAACCTTGTCATCTGTAACCTTGTCATCTGTAACCTTGTCACCTGTAACCTTGTCATCTGTAACCTTGTCACCTGTAACCTTGTCATCTGTAACCCATTATCAGCCCCGTTCGGGGGACCCATGTGCCCTCTATACCATGTGCTCATGTGTAATATCTTCTCTCTATAATATCTATAATATCAGGTTATATGTGTCGCCCAAATATCCGGCAATTTGTCAACACCAAGTATATTATTCCAATAATATGATTAGAATCAGACGAAAGATGCGATATCATCCGTCTTGTGGGAGAGAGAGAGGTGTGGACTAATCTAAATCGTTACCCCTTACTACTTATATAACTTACTACTTATATAACTTACTACTTATATAACTTACTACTTATATAACTTACTACTTATATAACTTACTACTTATATAACTTACTACTTATATAACTTACTACTTATATAACTTACTACTTATATAACTTACTACTTATATAACTTACTACTTATATAACTTACTACTTATAACTTTATAACACACTGTACCCCTTATATTACCCCTCATATAATATGTTACCCCTTATATTACTACTTTACAACACAGTACACCCTGCAGCTTGCGTTTACAACTTTATTAGCCTGACTAATGTTATCCCTTATCGTTTTTATGAGTCCTGACTAATGTTATATAACCACACTGTGTCGTGTTTATAACTTTATGAGCATGACTGATGTAGAGAATATGAATTATGATTGAGTGATAAAGTTTTTACGTTCATGTGGTATTTACCGGTCTTATTTGGGATAATTCTTCAAGTTGACCTCACTCTTTACATCTGATAGTGCAACTGTTTGTTCAATATAAGAGTTAAACCACTGCTTTACTTTTCTTTACCACTTCAAAGATATTTATAAATGTTTTT